ATAAATCTTTCAAATAAGTTAAAGTGCAAATACATCACATTTTTCAGATGATCTCCGTCTTCTAATAACACTATCCAAACTTAAATATTAATTATTTTTATATCGTGCTTCTTGATTTATGCTGTTTTTTTTTGCATTTCATTAGTATGTTGTACAATCTTGTAACAGTTGTCTCCATTTACATTAGTCGTCAAATCACAATAAATTTATGGTTTTGGAGGAATTAAAATCTAGGGGACATGGAATTAACACGGAAGTGAGTTATTACAAGAAAAAAAAAGCTGAGATATACTGAGAGGAAGTTTAGAGCAGTGTAAGAAAAACGAAACAGATTGTTAAATTCTTAATTTGAAGCTTACATATTACAGTCATTTTTTCTTTACTGTGTCTAATTCTTTAGGCTTAGAACTATTTACTTGAACTGTTTTAAAATTATCTTCCTTTGAACGCTTGGAAATGCACTTAACATAACAAGAATAAAAAATTGGGAATTCAGATTTGAATTACAGAGGTTTATCAAACGAAAGGCAAACAAGTTTTTTCCCAATTAGAGTGCAGACTAAAATTCTCATATAGAATTATTCATCAGTCAAAACTTCATAAATTCAGACCTGAATATTAGTAGTTTTTTCGTATGAGAAGACATCAACTCTTCCTTTAATAAAATGGGTTTCAAACATAATCCTTTGTTGACTGAGTTACAAGTCCGAGTTAATTAACGATTTATTTAAAATAAAGGTGCACTTTGTTAATTAGACATAAAGATACACATTGGATCATAGGAATTATTAAAAAGACGGTTGCAGAGAAGAAAATTTTCTTTTCGACGAAGTCATCAACTAGGCTGCACATTCGTGTACTTATAACAAATGGGTGGGGAAGTTCAAGAATAATTTCCACTCAAGGGTCAAATTAATGAAACTATAATTAGGAATTAAAATGCCATAATAAACAGGGGGATGGATAAAAAGGAGTCGAAAACGTGTATATAGTTCAGTGACAGAACATCTAGTTAATTCAAGACATTCAGCGCCATTCGAAAAATCCTTCAAAATAATATACAAGATTCTATCAAACCTATCAAAGGGATTAAAATTAAGACATTTGGGCATAGCCGTGGCACTAGTTATCCAAAAGCTCAAACCCACGCTATTTATCCAAAAGAAATACGTCCAAACCTTGTCCCTGCCATGGCCATCATAAACAGGTAATTCTTTTAGTAATGACCATCCCATTGCCTTCCTTATCCAAACTTCCTGTTTATTCATGTTATTTTAAAGTTTTTCTTAATCCCTATTTACACTACCATATTTTCATATCCGAACTGTCTATTTTGTCATTTTATTATTTCTACATTTCTAACCCCCGATTGCACAATATGTCAACTCAGTAATTATGACACTACTTTGTTTGAGTTTCATCCGTCCCCCTGTTTATTATGACATTTTAATTCCTAATTGTGATTTTATTAATTTGACCCTTGACCGGAAATTATTCTGGAACTTTCCCATCCATTTATCATAAATACAGTGATGTACAGCCTAGTTGATGACTTCGTCGAAAAGTAAATTTTCTTCGTTGCAACTGTCTTTTTAATAATTACATAAAGATACATGAAAAGATTGCGCATACTTTCTTAAGCAAGTCAAAATATGAATTAGACATTTGAAGTTGACGTAGTCATTTAAATGTGTAACTGAAACGTTTGCAGTAATGTGAAAAGCGTTGAGGCTGTTTGAAAAAAGAAAAGAACTAATAATTCTACAGCTTTGTATTATACTATCCAATACAAGCCTAAATAAAACATCGAATGAAATAATCGTGGCTGTAACTTAGATTGAAATAATAATATATGGTTCTCAAGAGTATTTGAAATAATAAATTTAGAACCACCGAACACATACCATACTAACTTAACTCTGTTTGAAGAATTTCCATTCCCAATACATTATTGCATGTTGTTTTAGATTCAGATGGAAGATATATAAGGCAGTCATTAAATGTGCTAATAAAAGTGTACCAAACTTATTGACAGAAAACAATCCATCTAAATCTCAGATGTAATTCTTTCCTATAGAAGTGATAATTACATGACATCAAAAAAAGATAAATCAGAGTTTTATAACTTTTCAAAATTTGTATATTACTCCCAATGAAATTGTGCAAGATGTATGTTTTTCCTCCTTCTAACCACTACACATTCTGTGTGTCATGAATTCACTCACTTGCTACGGTAATCTAAATGCGAAACCAAAGTTTACTAAAGAATGGGAGACAGGGAATTCGAAAACATGGCAAAACCAATAATATAAGCTGACTATTTTGCTTTATGAAGAGGCAGTCGACTTCAATGGGGACTGGGATCAGCTAGTGAGAAGCTAGAAGTGAGTTAATTGGAAGTAGTTATTTCATAGTTTAGGATGATGGTTATTGCATATCCACGAATGTATGGGACATTCAACCAGGCCCGTAATTTTCTTGGATGAAGACAATGATGAACTACTCAATTCCGGCTGAATGGCGTTTTGGTAAATTTTTCAATCCTAAGTTTGTCGGAGGAAGTAAAATCACTGACAGGATGACAAGTGAAAGATCAAAAGCAGTGTAAAAGAATATTCAATGGCTTTAGAAAAATTATTCCTATTAGTTTCCCCGGCTGATATCTGTTCTTGATCGAATTTACCTTGATACTGCATTATTATTTTATTGAACTTTTGAAAGTCAGTACGTTCAGGACATCAGTCCTTGCGAAAAGTTTTGATATTGTGTAAATCCCACATTCTAAAAATACCCAATATATGCCGTACCATAACCTGTGTTACTATGAAACTTAATAATTAGTGATGATAAATTTATAAAGAGGCTAAGTTGATTATATATATCTGCATGATATTAGTAATGATATTACTAACAGAGCACTTTAAATTGTTTCTTCTTGTGCGGCTTTGATAAATTTCTGGAAGTTTAAAGGTCCCTCAATCAGTGGAAGACCTGAAAAGCTTGGCTAGCTGTCTTTGATCATAGGTGCCTGCATTCTATCTGCTATCTTAGTGGTATAATAGAGTGAGCAGTATTGAGGTTAGGCATCCAGTGTTAGGTAAGAGTGGAAGTTACATCGATTGAGACGGTTAGGAAATGTGTTACGCATGCCTATCCTAGCTGTCGCCTTCCTCGATGGGGGATGTTAGCTGAAACAGGATCAGGTTGGAAAGAGCTAGTGGTGTTGAAACCAAAACATGGCTTCATCAGTCAATGAAATCCACAACAGTTAGCTTAAGCCAGCCAGCCACGTAGGAAGGTGTAGACTTACTGGTTGGTTGGGGTCCTCGGGATGATAAAAACCAGTGATGGCTGGAGACAATTACTGATATGGCTCAAAATCGTTCTCAGTGGCTGGCGCAGATGCATTGACTCTATATGATTTATAATATCCAATAAACTTCTATTGTTCTTCCATATTAATATTGTTTTTCCCACACATTTCTGTTTATTATCTCTCTTTCGAATCTTTCTTTACCCTCTTCTATTGGTTGTGCGCTACATGGAGTGTGGCAACTTGAACTGCTGCACTTCTGTGCAAATTTCTACGTTGAAACCAGTCAGTCAGTTATATTTTATACCAACAGAAAAATGAATTTTCAAGTATTAGTTTGTAGGAATTTGATGGGTTTCAAGTTTGATCACGGATAAATATCAGTTAGAGAACAGTTGAAAACTAAGAAGTACAGGCAGATGCTTCGTCCTTTTTTGGGACTCTCCATTAGTACGCATTCAAGATCTCAGAGGGGATCGGACACTGATTAAGAGGTGAGATCGTTAGCCATTCAACCACTAGGGTTGAATCTAGTGACCCATGGATTTTAACTTCTATTAATCCTTGATTTTAGCTCCACCTCTAGCCAATGTCATCAGAGAGCATGTCACACGACTTAGTGGACTCCACTAGTCACGACTTCTCACTAGAACTACAGGCTACTTCGTCTTGTAGCCAGTCAGTAGTGAACATCAGATTAACTTCCAAGTATTAGTCTGTAGGGAGTTGATTGGTAAATTAATGCTAAAATATAAATATATATATATATATATATATATATATATATATATATATATATAAAGAATTCTTTGATTGGACACTAGTAACTAGTGTGATGTGTCTAGTCCTTTCTTTGGTGTAGACTAAATTCTCTCAGTCAGGTTTCCAATGTGGCCACCATTCTAGTTAGCTCGCCATCTCGGTGCACATTGATTTAATGATATTAGATGATTGAAGACAGTCGGCAGGAAGACTTGGACCTAGGTTTTCACGAACTAGCACGAAACCTAGGTCCAAAGCTTCCTGTCGATTGCCTCCAACCATCTAATAGCATAAAGAATTCTATTAGACATTTATTCACTTTATATTGTTTGTGCTTATATTTCTTGTATGTTTCTTTCGCAAGTAGTGAAGTTTTAAGGTATGAATCGCCTTCTAAATCCAGTATAGTAATACTTTTTTAAATGGCATTTAGTAGTATCATGCCATTGTACTGAGTTATTTCTCAAGGTGTGACAATTTCTTTGCAATAAACTGTTGATTTAATACAAGGCTTTAGATTTGTTTGCATTATTAACTTTTGTATCAACAATAACTAGTGTTAGTTGTATCAATAGAATTACTCATAAAAGCAAACAAATTAATACTGAAACGTTTGAGTACGTGATAGATGACGCTCTTAATAATTCCTTCGACAAAATTCGTATGTGTCAGCAAACATGTAATATATATATATAAATTATTGCAGATTAAATCTAATTGTGTCTTCAACTGGTGAAAGAGGTTCTTTAGATTTTTATTTTCAACATAAAATTCAGCTAAGATGGATTATTCCACTTCAAGCTCTCTTGAAGAGTTACTGAAGTCACTATAAAGTTTTCGATCTTTGAGATACTTCCTTTCGATTTAATTTGTAAGCATGAATTTAATTTAATTATCGTATTTTTTTTCTTATTACCTCATATAGGTGTTACTGAACTCAATGTTTTTTACAATTCTGCTGTTTATTTCGTGCGTGAATGTAATGGAGTCTACAGGAAACTCTGTTGTGATTGATGTAATCGAAGATGCCAGACCTGGAACAGTTATCATAGACAACCTGGAACACAGATTTCCGTCATTTAACACTGGAGAATCTAAACAGCATTATATTGCGATAGGAAATCCATCAAGTCCTGGGATTAATAACCTGGAAATACGTCATCACAGATTTGATGGTTCCGTTCAGCTTGTCGTTAAAGATGGACACAGTGGTCCAGACCGTGAAGAACTATGTGGAAATCGTGAGTCTCACTCTGACTCACAAACGCCATTCTGTGATATCCCATTGATTATTTTACATGGAAAACGCCATGAACCATCCTATGGAAAGCTGACACTACGCATTTTGGATAGAAATGATAACAGTCCTGTGTTCACCAAGAAGGAAGCAGTTGAACTTCGTATACCAGAGAGTATTGAAAATTTCGAAACAGTGAGTAGTAACGTCATGCGACCTTCTCATATGCTACATTCCAGCAGCAAACCAAATGGAGTAAATCCAACTAGTCTAGAATTACCTAAAGCTCATGATATAGATTTACCAGAAAATGGGGTTAAAACTTACCGACTAACAACTGTTTCCGGACACGAGGTAGACAAATCACTGTTCAACTTGGTTGTGAATACTGAAAATGAAAAGATAGGCAACAGTCAGCCTGTTCCTTCATTGAGGATAGTAGGCTTACTTGACAGAGAAAAGCAGGACGAGTATTGGTTTCACTTACTAGCCATAGATGGAGGCAATCCTCAAAGAACGGGTACTCAGTCTGTTCACTTAGTAGTTACAGATATCAATGATAACATTCCAAAATTCAGAAAACCAATTTATCATTTTCCAACTTTTGTATCATCAGCTGATTTATACGGTCACAGTGGTTCTCAGGAATTCTTAAAAATATCCGAAACTCAAGCACCTGGAACTCCGATTGTAACATTAGTAGCTGAAGACGAAGATCGGGATTTAAATGGTCAGATAACATATCGTCTGAAAGAACCTTTAAGTAGCGATCAGAATGCTGCTTCATTCCAGTGGTTCAGCTTAGAAAATAAGAACGGATCTGCTATCTTAAAAGTTGCGAAGAAAATGGATGCGGATGATCGTCATGGATCTACTTGGTTTGATTTGAACAGGGAACACAGTGGTCGTTTGGTGAAATTGGTTATAGAAGCTGTAGATGCTGGATCTCCATCACTCACAGGAAGTATTGAGTTATTTGTTTTAGTAGAGAACGTTAATGACAACAAACCTGTAATATCTGTACAATATACCCAACCCTATCAAACGGAATCTGAGGTTCACAGTAGTATTAAAACAAATATTGTTGGTAGCATGGTAGAAAATCAAAATGAACAGTTGACGGTTGCACATCTGACTGTGGAGGATGGTGATATTATACAAAGCAATGCTGGCACAATTTCAAACACGCAAGACGTTCATTGTGAAACGAATGATACACGATTTGTGTTAGACAAAGTTTCCAACTTAAATTATGGCGATAGAACTGAGGGTTATGGAATGACTTTTGCTGATTTCGGTTCACCATTACTTTTCTACAAAATGTCATCTCTTAAATCAATAGACCGAGAAGCAGAACCATGGGTTTTTGTAAAAGTTATTTGTGTTGATCAAGTTCAGGTTAGTTATACATTGAATGCTTATCAGAGTATTGGAAAGTCAATCCAACCAAACAGATTAACTGGAAGTACAACAGTCACTATTAAAGTTTTAGACATAAATGATAACGTGCCAAGATTCACCCAACGAAACTATCGGTTCAGTGTATTTGAAACGCCATCTATATTAATGAATTCTATCAAGGATATATTTGATGATCACTCCAAAGTTGAAGTTGGTCGCATTAAAGCAGATGATCAGGATGAAGGCATAAATAGTGAAATGAGTTATAGTCTACTATCAGGTGAAACAGATGCATTCAAGATTGATGAAAACACTGGAATATTATGGAGAACAGGTTTTATAGACAGAGAAAAGATTTCTCAAGTTGAACTGATTGTTGAGGCCAAAGATCATGGGAATCCAACCCTAAGTAGTACTGCACTGATTAGAGTTGACATCCTTGATGTAAATGACAACCCACCCTATTGGATAATGTCATCTTCTGATGACAAAGAAAATGATATTCGCCGTGGTGGACCCGAAGATGGTGTATATTACTTTTCTTTAAATGAAGATGCACCAATCGGAAGCATAGTTGGAACAGTAAAAGCTGTGGACACTGATGGTGTGGCCGAAAGTGAAATGATTGAACAAATTATGGAAAAACAAAGTCCATCTAAGATGCAGAAAGTAAGTGCTAATAATTCGCCTGGAACTTCTTCTATAGTCTATCAGTTGGAAAATGAAGGTGATGGTAAGATATTTTCAGTGAATCCAAGAAATGGAGATATACGTCTCAACCAACAACTTGATCGTGAAGTACGTGCTCATTATGAATTTCGAGCTTTTGCGATTGATGGTGCTTCAACAGCTGCCAAAAGTCTTCCTGACAGTGCTCACTTGACTCATAAATGGAAACACCAATATACAGCAACAGCTACAGTTATAATTACTGTTTTAGATATAAATGATAACCCACCAATATTTGAAACACCACTGAGCGGTCAAGAATTTCACATAGAACCTGGTTCTTCAATGGCCACAGCTGGGACAACTTTGTTTACTGCTAAAGCCCATGATCCAGATGTAGGCGACAATTCAATTGTTAGATACTCACTAGACAACAATGGTTATGGGCTAGTAGAAATCGATCCAACTACCGGTGTTTGTTACTTTCGAGAAACAGTACAACATTCTTTAATGAATAAATTAATTGCTTCAAATGAAATCCCGATAAGTGGGAGAAGTTCAAATTATTTGCACAGTGCTAATTTAATATCCTCTGAAAATACAATTACAAATCGTGCACATGAATTGCATTCATTCACATTGGGTTTAACTATTATTGCACGTGATTTAGGCAGCCCACACTCACTAAATAATTCACGTACAGTAAAACTTGTATGGACATCAGAAGCTCAACTGAAAGCACTGAGTTCATCAACAAACGAATTATTGGATAGAGGCGTATTTGGTGCATCGTCTGGATTCTTATCCGACAGTCGTATATCTATAGATAAATTAATTATCCCTTTAATTATTGGGGCTATCTTATTGATACTTATTATTTTCTTGATACTGTTCGGGATATTTCGTTGTCGTAAACAGGCAAACAAGACATTACCATCAAATAAACAAATATTTATCAATGCATCCTACCCATCGAAATTTAATAAAGCCAACAGTAGAATAAGCAAAGACAGTATTCATCGTATACATCACAACGACGCAGACCAAAGTTACTGGTGTTTGTGTATAAATAAACCTAGCGGTGGTAGTCAATCAAAGAGGAGATTATCAAAACAGGATCGTATTGAAGAGTTGAAGAAATCAATACAAATTCTTGATCATACTACTAACAGTAATTTCACCATGAACAGCAAAAATGATCCTAATAATAATGCACATAATGACTACATTGTAAATAATTATGGTGAATTCGATACAAGAAATCGAGAGAATTCTGAAAAACTGATGACACGAATAAGAAATACACAAGCTGAAGTTTCTTTGAAGGCATGCTTACCAGGTAAGTGTTATAAAGTTGGTAGAGTAACTGACTTTTTTCAGTGATTATGGTTCTGTAATAAATTATATCTGAAATCTACGTCAAAGCTGGAGGAGAAAAAGTTTGTATTACAAAGTGTTCAGATTTTATTAGGCGGGATTAGTAAGGAAGTAGAAATCGAAAAACAGAATGTGTAACTATGTAATAAGTGGAAAACACTTTTCTGACCCAGTGATCTTAGCCCTATTAGCTGATTTCAAATCAACTCTAAATGATTACTTGTATCACATTACGTAATCAATTCACCTGTATGTTGCTGGTCAATTGGTGTTTTCGCTGTTTAGTCAGCTATCGAATATCCTTCCCAACTTATGACCAGTAACTACCTTCTTTCGTGTTATCTTTAACTGATTATGCCATCACATTTCATTCATTGCTGTTTGCTCACACTATGATCATCGTAATAAACTTCTGTTAGTGGATTAAAAGATGCATGTTGTCATTCCGTCAATGTCATGTATATTTTAGGCTGTCTGCAGTTGAAAGGAAGAGAATTATTTATTATACCGGAAATTTCCTCCTTCATTTGATGAAGTGCGTCGGTGGCACAGCGGTTAGGGCGCTTGCCGACCATGCACATGGTCCGGAGTTTGATCCTCAGCCTCCAAAGCCTCAGGATGGTCGGGGGTGGGTGCCTTGCGCTGCGGGTTGGCCACCCCTCCGCACACCTCTTGAAATGCTCCCATATGACCGGGCGTCTTACATAGCCTCTCCTGAGGAAGTCCTACTCACTGCCTTCACGTGGCGGAGGTGTTTTTCACCAAAGTGAGAGGGCGAAAGCGGATGCCCGGCGCCCTTCACCGGGTTGACTGTCCATTGGATGACAGTCTAGGGGAGATGGCTAAACCCTGATTCCAAACCTCCAACGACTGGCGTATGAAGCTCACTGGAGCTCACCGGCAGACGTATGGACAAAGGGCTTGTTGGATGTCCTGGATGTCTGGCCCCATTCAGAAAGGCGTATGAACCGAACTCCGGTCACCGGCTGCCAATGGATAGTGGACTCTCTACTCCACTCCTACTGCCTTGTAGGTCAAACTTGGTTGTGTAAAGGCTAGAGCTGCACTCTCAAACAAAAGGCCGAGTGGTTCTGGGGACATCACTCGTACCGAATTCCCATGAAACTTCGTAAACTCTCTTCATCAGATCGCTGCGCCTGGGTAGCGATGATTTGAGAAGTTCATGAAGCCGGCTCATCCTTCCGTAGGAGATAGCCGAAGCAAAGTAAGTAAGATATCAATGGTAGGCCTGCTAAATTTAGGCTACCTATATCACATGCTGAAAATTCCATAGTTGTACCAAAATACTGTGCGGAATCAAGCTATAATCAAAAAAATTAAAGATGATTAAGGGGATATATACTGTATGAGTTATTATCTGAAATGTCAGTAACTGCTCAAGATAAATTTAACCTGCATGTTGTAAAATGATTTCATATCTAAGTATTTTGTAGTGAAAGCCGAAAATCAACTATATATTGTCAGGTATACGTATTTGATTTTGGAGAAAGCAAGTCAGAGGTGATAGTCTACGTGATTTGAATATTTTGGAGTGAATATATATGAAAAATCCCTTCAGAAGGTATTTGAATCATTTCTCCACTAGTAGACCTTCTCCTTGCGGTTCTTTTTATTAAATGAAGTATATTTTCAAAAGAATGGTTACTGAACACAAAGAATACTCTTTTCGATAACCCCTTCTTCATCAGGTTCTACAGTTATACATACATAATAGTGACTGAATTAATGTTATGAACAACATTAATGTTTAAATAACACTGAATCAATAATAATATCAATGGATTACAGTTCCATAGCATCAACATAATAATACAAACTGAATATCAGAAAAATAAGGAAAAATAATAATACAAATTCATGAATTTATAGTCTCTACTGAAGGCCAGCCAGGGCAGCAGTAGTGGCTAGACTTGCTTCTTTTGCACACAAAGCACTGGTTGTTTCACGCGAATAGCGATAGCCTCTACTGTTTGGCGCATGCGGTACCTCGATGTTTTTGGCAATTTATTTGGTACCCGATAGATGATAGAGAAGGATTCTTCAATGCTGGCTGGATTTGTGGCCGGTTTTGACCAGATGGTCTAATATCGAACTGTTGATGGTTTTTACTACACCTTTACTTAGCCATACTGGGAAATGTTCTCGAGCACGAAAAATCAGGTTCCTAGAGCAAAGGCCGATATAACTGGCTCCACAAGCGCAGTTCGATTGGTAGATATAATTGGAAGTGGCTAGTCTCGGTACTTCATCTTTCAATCGAGGAATTACCATCGGTCGTGTGGAGAATAAGACGTGTAGTTTGCCACATTATCGAAAGAGTTATCGTAAAGAGTATTCTTTGTTCAGTAACCAATCTTTTGAAAATTTTAATGGACATTTGTAATCAGTTGAAGTGTATTCTTCACATTCACCTAATTCATAAACTAATTTTTCAAAGCACCCTCCAGTCACTCCTATGATAATACTACACAATTTCTGCTGAAATATTATCGTACAGTGAGTACATAAATTTAACTGAGACTTTAAACTAAATTTCTGAAATCCTTGTTGATAAAATTGCTAATCCACGTTTCATAGCATTAATTCTTACACTTCCACTAATATTATGAAACAATATGTATACTTTTCTCCAACAAAATTCTTTCATTGATACGCAGAATTTTTCTGATATCATTGATCAATAGACTCTAACCATCTGGCGACCGATTCATGCACATTCATGTTTCTTAATTACGTAGATTTGTTAATGATTTCAGTCATGCATGCAAGTGTTTAGATACCCGCATATATATATATATATATATATATATATATATATATCGACGTAAATGTAGTGTCTAACGAGCAAATAAACATTGTTAACTGATAAGCCAGTAAGCAGTCTTCTTATAAGCAATGAAATGAGCCATTTATCTATAACCATGAATGTATATGTTTCAATAGTCTCACAACTGTTCTTACTGTTACTGTTCTAATGAATAACGGTTGTTTAAAAAAAAATAGAAACGCTTTGTCGGTGTTTTCTCCTACTTGTTGTCTCCTCATATTTGTGCAGTTTTTTTTACGCCAAACTAATAGACACGGTGCTCTTATTTGTCAGTAGACAGTTTGAACCGGAATACTGTCTACAGAACTAAGCTCATACCTGCAACAACGTGAGCCTTATCGCTTAAGATCTGTCATTAAATTTAAGCTTGTGTTTCCGTCATTTAGTCATGTGCAAAGGTTGCATCTAGTCTACCTCTTATTCTGTGACCATAAGGTTTCAGAACTGTAAAAATAATAGATGATGAGTTATTGCTACCTAGGGGTTTTACTAGTTTACTTGTTAAACAATTAAGATAGTTAAACAACATCTTAAATTGACTTCCTTGTTGAAATCACACTAAGAATACAGTAGAATAGAAGTTTATAACATCAAGCAGCAATTCAATAGCATCATGCTATATCCCGGTGACTCTGTTGGCATGCAACTCCCGATAATCATAAAAATAATCAAAATTTCTATAATCTCAGTAATCTTATTCCGTATTTAGATATGAATGATATATCATATTTACTTCTATGGTAAGTCACCATAAGTACGAAGAAAAAGCCTATAAATCTCCAACGTTTTGCCGATGTTGATGAAAGGCAATGTTAATCAATGAACCGCCTATTATTCTACATGACTCATAAGGCAATTATTTACAGCGCATGCTACCTTCTTTGATTATATTGCGTGAATTCAACTTATAAGCTTATGTCACACTGTGAGCGAGGAAATTAGTCTACTAATGCGCAGATGCTAAATACACTGTTAGAGCTTAATAAAAACAACATTGTTCTATGGTATGAAGAAGGTTACTGAAGGGATTTACCTAGCTACCACAAAGAAATAAATGTTTCTTCCGTTTTAAGTTTTGATTTCTCCAGCTACTTCTCTTTGTTAAATTTGCATTAACAAAGAACAGGGATTAATAATATTTCAATAAGTGGTGGTTAGTACTTCACTCCAGAATGCGCTTCTTAGTCGTTTTTACGGGCTCATTATCTCTGTTAAGAAAAAGATATAATCATGATTTCTACGAGAACAAATGTCAGCAGAGATCGAGTTTTTCAGTCCATCGCAAATAATGGTGAAAATGCACATTTTAATAAGTAATATTTAAAATAGGAGTTAATTGGTGGATGGTGACTAGCATTGGAAACTAGGATGCGCATTTCGTCCTATTTGAGACTCGTCACCACCCACTAATTAACTTCTTGTTACATGAACAGACATCATCGAAGCATCTACACAAGAAGCCGATATGTCAACCTGAGACCGAGCACTTCAGTCCAGTCAATCGACGGGAAAATCTAAAATTGAATTAAATAATTAAAATAGTTGGTAAAGACTTAGAGAAAATTACTGTCACAGAAAATGAGTGTCTATTTTATTAAAATCAAAGGGGATAACTTATTGCTTAAAATTCATTTAACTTTATCAGATTCAGAAGCACTAGTAAAATTATCACCCAACAAAACATGAAGCCTTTTACTTACAAGCTGTATAAACCACACTTTATACAGCAGTGTTTATCTGAACCTATTCTGTTAATTTATAACCTTTCTTTATCTTGATTCAGACTGTGTTCCATCAATTGTCGGAGGACAATCTGAGCAAACATGGAATCGTCAAGATGACAGAATAAATTTCAAATGGGTAAGTTTCAAAGAATGAATAATGTCAAACTGTTCATAATTGATAGACATACACTACGCATTTTATCAAATAAGTATTTTTTGTTAAAGCATATGGAGACACAGCATTTACAATAGGTTGATACCTCCAGTATTATACACTCTTTATTATGACATTACTATATTCACAGAATTTCCTAACTTTTTAAAAATAACCTTACTCATTCAATAGGAAGTCCAAATTAAATACACAAACAATGACTGATAACTAATGCACAAGTGATGGGTGGCTCAGTTACGAAGCTTTCATTTTCCTCCCAGACAGCTTTTCCAGCTCTTACTTCAATATGGAACCAGTATTTCGCAGATCCCCATGAATGATATAATTGCCTATCCTGGTGACCTTGGCTACGATTAGTTGTCTTTTGTGGTTTCCGTATCCTTTTGTTAACTTTTATCTGTGTCGATATTTTCCCTGACCTGAGAGTTGATGCTTTTGCAACTTAATTTTAACGATCGGTAAATCTGATCCATGTTCACACCTCTGTTCAATGAAGACTTATCATAGTATCAAACTCTTAGGAATTCTCTTGTATTTTTAGTGTTCCACTATTTAAATTTTCTCACATTTTCCCAGTCAAACTGGGGTTCATATTCATAGGAAGGAATACATATCCTGTCTTTTGGCAGCTATTTTATAATCTTGGACTCGAATTCCGAGGGAATATTGGCTAAGACCGATAAATGGCTTTCCTCGAAATATTCAGTTACATTTGCAGACGGTGCTGGCTTTATTTTCTGTTATTTCTGAGTCTTCTGGATTACAGTGAATGAAGTGATTCTACTGGTTTGTGTTCGATATCTATTCTAAATAGTTCCACTATTCCCTCTGCTATTTTAGAAATATTATTCGTATATGGTGGGATGAATCTTCCTGTGATTTCCGATGATACCTTTTCGCTAGTAGTTTGATTCGAGTGTAGACATCTTTTGATCAAGTTGAGAGGATATTCACTTTCGTTGAGGAAGGTATACTTGTATACTTGTTTCCCTGGAATTCCTGTGCTTATCCAGCCAAGAGAAGAATTTCATTGTGTGATTTTCTTCTCTCGTGATTAATCTCTCTTTAGTTTAGAAAGAACTTCTAACACTTTCACGTAGTTCAACCCTATTGTATTGTTTTGTGCAAGTATAGCCTTACCATGAACAACACTGATGTAATTATGAGTAATAAATTGTACTTGAAGCATCACCCAGCTATTACTAATGTATCACTTTGTGTGAGATAAAATAAATTTAACTAATGTGAAATTATATTCTAACATTAAATAAATCCCACACAATTCGGAAACACATTTCTTTGTTACAATCATAAAATAGTCGAAAAATCACATATTTTTTTCAAGGTTTGATTATATGGTGTAGGTGTTGAAATTTTTCCCAGTGTAGTGTATTCTGAATGCACCGTCTATTGTGCCTCTAAATTCACTCCATCTTGCCATCTTTTAGAATTCCAAATGTGGGGTTTCATTCGCTAGGAAATATTCGAAGCCATCATACCAACAGTAAGGTTTGAGCCTACTGTTGGTATTACACTTTTGAAATGGGTGCTTCCTGCCATCTTCACTTCAGAGTATTGTGTTTTTAAAAGGTGTTAACTGCTGGCAATATAAAACTACTTTCCTTTATGTAGATCTGCATTTTCTAACTTGAAGTTATTCATTAATTAAATTATGCGAACTGTATTCGGTATACAACGTCCTAGGTGGATTAATGCCGCAGCAATATGAAAACAATCAACTGTCTTTTTGAAATGTTTCATGCTGACAGTTCTCTGCAAATTAATTGATAGGATTTCCGCAGAGCTAAAGAGTTTTGACATCTGCCGAAATTCTTCAATTTCACAAGTGATGTATGATAAATTTGGCTTTACTCCTAGTTCATTAAGTTATTTAGATAGGTGGAATTTGATTATTTCATTCGGTACACCAGGGAAAAAGAATAACGGTAGAAATAGTGACGACTAGTTGAACGAAAATACTTCAAATAACACTGAGAAGTAACAAGACTTTCATGTTTACTCAGGATAATTATCAACAACACGATTATTACAACGTGGTGTGCACCTATAGTAACTTAGATAGGATGACTGTGGATTGGTTTCAAAGAATTTTATGTAGTAATTACAAATAAATGAAATTTATTTGCTTTAATTTTTTTCAGAACGAGCTGCAATCATTTTATCCAGATGGTGTACGAAAGCCACGTCTACCAAACAAATCACTAACTCGTACATTTTCAGACGACTCAATGGTCAATATTCGACAATTTGACGGTGAGTGAATTCATGCAACTTCTTATTATGTTTACTAAAGACTCGATGAGGTGTAATTTACAGATAAGATTTTACTTTGATAAATCACACAGTGTTATACAGTAATATTAACTGATGACGTTTCGAGCACAAACTATTGCTCATAATCATATCAAGTCACTCACACAACTTTTTACTTCATTTGTATACATGAGTGAAATTGATGATTAGACATTTGAATAAGAATCAATATAAGATAATATACATTCAGAAATAATGTTAGTGTTATCAATCAAATACAGTCAGATGGGAAAAAAGACGAGTGTTTTTATGGTCAAAATAATTAGCTTGTTATTATGTACTTGAATTGAAATAGAATTTTAAGATTATTTATTATCCTCCTCTGAGTTGACTGACTGGCCGTAATAACATCTTCCATATCTCTGGTATTTGCATTGAGTCGTTTCTGTTGCATGTGTTGGGTGTAAACTCAATGAACAAGGATTCAGTAATCAATCTCTCTCTTCACCTAGCTATATTACTTATTAGAATTTTAGCCCTCTCCCACCCTATTGTGTGGTTGTGTGTTAATGCATGCAGAGCGACTTCTGAGCTTTTTTCTAAATGACTTATGTTCTCGGGGTCAACCATTCTTACCTTAGCTAAATTTTTATATTCCGAAAATCTTACTACCCTCGACCTACTAGTTTGACCTATGTAGTTGACCTCACTCACAGTCATTGCAAGGTATTTTGTAAATTATACTTTTAATCGTCAAATGCAATCATATTTAACACTGATCACGTGTGAAGAATTTTATTCGAAAGCTTTTCGATGTTATCTTTCAGCAAACAGTTCCTTGATGGTGTTTAAATTCATGACAGAGGATAAGTGTATGATTTTTCCACTAGCCAGTCTTTGTTTCATAAGGTATGGGTATTTGACACTAAGATCAGCTAAGATCTCGTTTTTACACTCTGGGTGGATTCTAAGTTTGATTAGTCTAATCGACAGTGTAATTAACTTCCCATTTAAATGTCCCATAGAAAATAGCATATCTTTCATGAGAAAGATAATAAAATCATGTGCTATTTAATTAAAATGTCATGCTGAGTGATGCAAAAAACTACTGGAATTGACAGAATAATAAATTAAGAGAAACACTTCAAATGCTTAAAACATTCATAAATTGCTTTTCAGAAATACCAGGGACTGTCTTTTTTAAAGTTTATCGTATGATAAATTATGTACAAAGCCATAACTTTTAAAGTTTCAGTACATAAATGATTGTTGCATCCTGACTGAGTATAGCTGTGTTCCTACGTAGTAGTATTATCATACTGAAATTATAAGCAGCGAACTATGTTGTCTGGTGCTATAGGCAACCTAAATATGGGAGCTAAATTGATGAGATAAAAGGTTTCCTTTTGGTTAAATATCTACAATAATAAGGCAAACAGAAGAAACCACTTTGGGAACCCTAAGAACTAATATATACTACTGATTGACTGAAATGAGTAGTTGTATACCACTCATATCAACCAGTATTGTTAGCCAGACAGATCCAGGTGATCTAAACGCCGGACGGCCATTTCGCTCATTTGGAGGCAGGCTCAATAACAGCATACCCAGTTTAATTCAGTTCATAGAGCTGAATCAGTTGAGTTCACCCGATTTCTGGGGAGCTGATTGGGCGAACTGGTGATAACATAAATCAGTTTCACAGTTTGTAAGCTTGTCAGCTTTTTGCTATTTGAACACTTTGTAGAAGTGAAATTTCACTGCATTTTCAAACATTGGGAATGGTCAAATCGCTAACCAATTTATAAACTGTGAATGTGATTTTCGGTATCATCAGTTCAACCAATTAGCCAGCCACAAATCGAGTGGTTTCAACTGATTCGACTCTTTGAGCTGAGTTAAATTGGATACACTGATGATGAAGTCGGCTTTAAACGACGGAAACAGCTATCCGGCGTTTAGACTACCTGGATCTAGCTGGCTAACAGTACTAGTTGATATGAATCGTATACGACTACTTATATTAGTCAGTTAGTAGCATATAATTTTATGCAAATTTGCTTGCTTTCTCGATTAACATTTGTGATATGAATCAGATCACAGTATATGATCTGTAATAATCTGGTTTTTTAAGGAAACTAGTGAAAATTTCACCTTTTAAACTGTATACATGGTAAATTATTAACCAATTTACAAAGTGTTAATCTGAACCATATGCAGCATTAAGATATCATCCACTAAAAGAACCACATTACATACGAAGTATGATCTAGAAGCATCAACATTGCAGTGGCTGACTTTGGTCAAATTCACGAAATCAGCATTTTTCCATTTGAATCACAGCAAATGCACAAATTTTTTAAATTCTTTTACGTTCGCAGTGGAACATAGGGCTTCAAGCTAGAGCTGTGAAGTTTATGTAGCGGTGGTTTTATTTTGACAGGGTGGTGTTGCTAGCCCCATGCCCAAACTACTCTCTTTACCAGTCTTATTACTGGCTTGGACTGGTAATGTAGTGCATCGCACGCCGAACCACATCGTTAGCGAGCATTCTACCGCTGTGTACAAAATTAATGACTTATTTTTATTATTAAAGATTGCGCATAGGGAGGAACAATTTAAAGTAAAACAGAGAAGAAACTGTTCATATACTCTTTGTTGTAGTACTTAGACGAAACTAAATGAATAACTTGTTGAACAATAAGCCGAATACAGCTAATGAATACTAGATAAATCTTTGACAAAACTCTGTTGTAAAGCAGTGAAATTAATTTTGCTAACATATATGAACAAGTACACATGGTGAACTGTGCCACTTTCTGAGTGCTGTTGACTTCTTGCTGAATTTTTCATATTTTGTGCGTCGGTGGCACGGCGGTTAGGACTCTCGCCGGTCATGCACGTGGTCCGGGGTTTGACCCCTTGCTGACGCACACCTGATATCAACAGTCAGCCTGCAAAATTTGGATGCTGAAAATTCCATAGTTGTACCAAAAATACGGTGTGGAATTAAGCTATAATAAAAGTAAATAAATAAATAACAATGACTCTGATATGAAAGAACTCAATGAGTTAGTGAAATGTACGAATAAATCTCAGTGAAGAATAAGTTTTAGCATAATTTCTTTTAGATCAAATTACAAGCAAAAGTATTACGGTTGATTTTTTGGTTAAGTCAGCATTATCTCTAAAGTACCTCATTGAATAAATTTATTGAGTGAAACGCGTATATTTTGAAACCAGTTGGCAAATTATATGAACACTGTTGTCAGTAATTATTCACTATATTTTAGCACCCCCACATCAATATGCATAAGACAATTTCGTTCTTTCACTGATGTTAGCCAATGATGAAATCCTCCAACCGATCAAACAAAATCCCTACAAAAACCAATACTTGAAAATTCAGATACAGTTTAAAAATACTGTTTTTAGAAATATGATTTAGTAGAGAAAACACTTAGTAACTGCACGGATGTCTTTCAGATTCGCTTCTTTAGCTAAACAAAACCTGTGACTTGCAAATCCTGTTGTAAGCGCAAGGAGATATTTTTTGATCTTAATGATCAATATAGTTTTCTTAAATGTGGTCTGACGAATAACGAAACCTAAACAACCATTTCACGATCAATGTGTATTACAGCTGCCAACAATGACAAAAAGTGGAATGATTTTAGGTAATTGAAATCTAGTTAAAACAGCATGAGACTACAGCATTTATTTCACAATAAGAATTTTAAAACACATATGCGTATGTACAACATATGCTTATTTCAGTTAATGGCTACTGTGTTTTTTCATTCATGAAAGTAATGTGATATATTTATCATACTGTTTAAATCAGTTTAAAACAAGAATATTAGATATATCTTTAATTATGTTGGCGTCTAACACGAATCCAATGTTATGTTTAGTAAATGAAATATTATTAATGTACGTGAAGAAGTTAGGCACTGTGGTAGAATGTAGTTGCATATTCGATAAGTTTTATTTTAATAATGTTTCGAGCACAGATTACTGCTCATGATCATATCAATTTCAGTCACATGGTTTGACAATTTTTCTTATGCATATTTTTCATCTCTCCATCTTCCCCTTGTCGGTTGTTGCTGCTTTCCATGTCTCCGGCATAGGCGTTGAGTCATTTCGATGTCACGTGTGAGGTGTTGAATCGATAAATAAAGCTTCAGTGATTAACCTCTCTCTCCACCTAACTATATTATAATAATAATAATAATAATAATAATACTGTCACCCTTTCCCACCCTAAATTGTGACTACATGCATGTGAATGCAGTGCAATGGCTGAGCTTTTTTCTAGGTTATCAATCAATCAATCTAAGTCGAGTTAAATTTGTATGTCCCAGTAATCTAGTTGACCTTGATCTACTAGTCTGACCTATATAACTGACCATACAGTCATTAGATGGCATTTGGTAAATTATATTATTTCTTTAATTGGATCTGTTGGGTCCTTAAGCCGACAAAGTTGGTTGGTTGGTTTGAATGCCACCCTAATCCTAGCCTCATTGAGAATCCTATGATGGGCCTGAGACGTTCCTTTTTTATACGGCAGTACTACAGAAGCTTTCAGTTCGATATTATTTTTTTCATTTTTGTCATCCCCATTACTAATCTTATTTTTCCTGTGGTTCTTCAAATATTTCTGTATAAATTCTGGTGGGTAGTTATACCCTAGTAATATTTCCTTTATTTGTTTGATTTCATTATTTAAATCTTCTTGCTTACTAGTTAGGCTTTTGGCCCAATTATACAGACATGTAATTAAACCTATCTTTGATATAAGTATAAAACTTGGGCAGTGTGGTAGGGCATAACTCCATTATGGATAAGATTTTATTTTGATAAATCACACAGTGTTCTACACTAATATTAACTGATGACGTTTCGAGCACAAACTATTGCACATAATCATTTCAAGTTCAACTTGATATGATTGTAAGTCTGGAAAAGAGTAAAGGTTGGACTTGAGGTTTGTAACCTCACTATGTAAAAACAACTGCAGCACTACTGAAGCTTCAGAGCTTAAAGCTAGAAGCCAGTATTTTCCACTCGGAACGTAAAAGGATAAAAAAATAAACCAAGCATATCACATATTTACTGCATATCCTTCTTTAATAACCATCTCTGCTGAGTGATATCTGAATTGCTACTAAAGTGTTGGTTTGCAGGGATTTCATCTTGAATTGACATCGGTTAGAGGGCCATTGAAAAGCCTGGGAGTACTGGAATTCGTGACCAGTGAGATACAGCAGGTCGGGGTGTGAGGACAAATAATCGCCAGCGATGACAGTGGCTAGTGGTCGCGCCATATCATGACTTGGCAAAAGTTTGAATTCATGGTCTGGCCATTGGATAGGGTCCCACTGGTTGAATGGTCTACGAGATCACTTGCCTAGTAACCAGAAGGTCGTAGGTTCGAACCCTAGTGGTGGGTGTGTGTGCTGTTGAAGAGTCCCAAACCGTGACGGAGGAAACAGCCCTCTGGTAGTACTCCCAGGTTTTCCAATAGCTCTCTAACCGATGTCAGTTTAGGATGAAATCCTGAATTACTATTGTTGAATGCCTTGTTTCAGGTGTACATCTGATTATGTGAAATTATAGAGAAAATATATTATGAGGTAAGCCATGTGAACATAGATTGAAATTCAAGTAGTTTTCTCAGCTGTAGGTATTCCACTACGATGTAAAGACGATGGGAGATAATAACAGTTAAGCACATAATTTGAATTTTTTTAAAATGTAACTGAATATGAATTTCTTTTCAATTTAAAGCTACAATATCCACTGATTAAGAGAATACATGAGTGGTAAGTGATAACAAAGAAAGAGAAGTATAGACGATTTCCGTAAAAGATTAAATGTAGACATACAACGGATCTAATACAACAACAAGAGGAGTTAAGATAAATATTAGTAACAATAATAAATTGCCACAAGCCGCATAAATTAATTGTCAGACAATTATCGTTTTAAATGTATGGATAAAATAATAAATCTGTGACCTATGGAGTGTCCTTGTCTAATGATTATTTATTTGTTGAGGTCATGTTTATTTCATTTTCACTAGTTCTTTCATCATTTAAGGAATCTAAACAATCATTATCTACGTGTTAACCTAAGACGATATTGCTCATGTAGTCATGACGACATAAATGTGGACGAAGAGGAGACGTCGTAAAATATGCAGTTATGTTTTGGACATCAGAGAATACATTATTTGTAGTATCGTATACACTTTGAAATCAAAGTATTATTATAATAAAACATAAAATTGTTTTGGTGGATCAATTGAAAAGTTAATGCATTAGAATGACACTTTCTCTGTCACTGAAAATATACCAAGCCCCAAATCCATTCACCCTGCGAAAAAGACAGTAATAGATGTACATATCTTTACTTTGTAGACTTTCGTTGTTTGAAAAATTTGATTTGTTTATTTTCTCTTCGTCCATTTTCTGAGCCTATTTCTTAAACACACTGGGATTATGTTAAATAATTTATGATAATTCAGTGTGACTCGGCTCTCAAATTGTTCCAGGAAATTAATAACATGTTAGATGATTGGAGGCAATCAGTAAGAAGCCCCCAACTAGCTTTCATGCTAGTTGGCATTTACCAGTCAGCAAGGCGTGTCTGAGACCTTAAAGGAACTCATGCCCCTTCTGAGGTTCGAACCCGCGTCACCCAGTGCTGCTTGCAGTCAGAGACGTTACCACCAAGCTATTCGGGCTGACGATTGACCTCCTGTAGAAATGTGTTGGATACTTTCATAGCACACTAGTCAATAACTAGCGTAATGTGTCTAGCCCTTTGTTTTTGGTGCAGACTGAATTTTATCAGTCAATTTTACAGTGTGGCCGCCATTCTAGGTGACTGGCCGTCACGGTGCACTGTAAATTTTAGGTATTAGATGGTTGAATGCAATCGGCGGGAAGCCTTGAACCTAGGTTTCGTGGTACGGTCTGGATACTTATAATCTGTTTCAGATCTGATTAGTCCGATTATAGATTTTATGAACAACAAACACAAGTGAGGAAACTACTGAAAACCAAATAGTATACGACTGCTGTTTCATCTTACTTTAATTTCAATTCTGAGAATAAACATTTGTGACAAAAGGTAAAAAGCAGTCATTCATCCACTAGGTTAAATAATGTGGGATTTTAACCGTTTTAACGAACCACGTCTAACAGCAAGTTATATCACCAAAATGTTGGAAATGTTTTGTGTTAATAATTCTGTAAAATTAAATGGACATTTGGATATGAAGCGGTAGTTAATGTTATGTCAGATGTTTTCATTCTTTTGTATCTCAAGTGGGACATAGGGTTTCAAGTGTGAGCTATGAAGTCTCAGTAGCGGCAGCGTTGCTTTAACAGGGTGGGTTCGTTATCCACACACCTACCCCGTCCTCATTACTGGGCGTCATTTCGGAAAACATCAGCCGGGAATCGAAACTGGACCATGTGTGTGGCTGACGAACATTCCACCAACCAATGAAGCACGTCACATCTATGAGTCGAAGAGATAAATCTTTTGGGTTGATGGTGACTAGCAGTAGAATGCAGAATGCGCATTTCGTCCTATTTAGGACTCGGCAATTCGATACGCCTGCATTCCACAGTGAGTGATGGCATTCCCACCTAGGCTCGAACCCAGTGCCTGTAGTTTCAAATGCCAAAGCGTCATCCAATAGACCACTTGGAGAATCGAGAGCCCCCTCATGTGCAAGGGGTGTTATTAATTATTTAATTTAGATTTTCCCGTCGATTGGGTTATATTTGATATCTAGAACGGAAAACAGTATAGTGCCTGATGCTTTACTTCATAAAATACTAAATTTCACAACATCGTAAGAAGAAATTTAAATCTAGTGGACTGAAACCTTATTTGTTTTGTGAGTATCCTTTCATAGGATGCGAAATAAGTTTGGTCGGGTTACATTCTAATTTTTCATATTTATTACAAGCATACAAAAATCTTAAAATGATAGCAAATCGAAAAGGTGAATGTGTCCTTTACATTTAACTTAACACTAAATTAAGAACTAGTGTGGTGAGTGCTACTGATAAGATTTGTATATATAAAGAGACGTTCATAGGCATAAAAACATCAAATAGTAGGGAGATAAATTTGATGTCAGCGAAGGCAAATGATACAGCCTTTTGGAGATACATGGAAGACGTGAAAGGAATGCAAAGAAATACAATTTTAAGGAAGGCGAGAAGTAGCACAACATGAAAGATCTGTGCAAATGGTGCGTTGAAGATAAGATGTACATAATTTGGCTATATAGAGATACCAAATTGCAAATAAACATTCCTTTACCAAGTCTTTCGTCTCCTACCGTGAAACACTAGCGCTGGAAACAGTAGATGAATGTTGCAAGGAAAACAACGGTTACTTTGTGCTATGAAAGTAACCCTTTATTTTTATTTATATAGGAGGAAAAAGATTCTTTTTAGGACGATAGAAGCATATGTTAGTAGTAATCAGTAGTAAGAATATAGAGTTAATTATTTCCTTATTCCTTTTACATCTTTTTCAGTTGGGTATACAGCCTTATGCGCTCATCCAAATTCACCGCATAATCGGTCTCAATTTATCCCAATACAACCAGATACAAATATGGATTCTTATTATACTGACGATAGGATAGCAAAACACCCGATATTTAGTCCATACTTGAACAGAAAATCTCAAATTCCTAGCAACAGAACAAATACCTTTAATATTTCAAAACTTGCACCACACTCAACAGTAACAATGACATTACAGCCATCTAGTTTATCGAATGGAGTTACAATACTCCCGCCAGGATCATGTTTCGACACATCATCTTACTATAGTCCTTTAGGCATGAATAACACATGTCATATATCTAACTCATCAGTACAACCAATAACATCTTCATACGATATAGGACGAAATCTCAACGAGTGGTCAGATAAATATGAAGACTTTGAAACTGATAAAGAATTGGCAGTTTTGTCAAAGGCAACAGAAAAATCACGGAATGGATGGAAACCGAAGCTAGCAGATGCTTATGCAGAAAATTCTTTTGTTTGAATTGATCATATTTGTAATAACTACTTCTAATATATATTTTTTGTTTCTTCCCTCCCACTAATATCATTTGTAATTAATTTCTTTTCACATTAAAATTTGAAAAAACATCTACTTTAAATTCACTTGCATGTCTAACAGAAAATGCAAGAGAAATGTAAAAATTCAAGCGGCATTTAATTTCTTCATATGGAGTCATTCTTTTATACAATTTGCTTATTTATTGAAGGATCATTATTTATATTTATTTTATTGTATATAAAAGTAATAAAGCTGATAAATACAGTAGCGGTTAATTCGTTATGATAAGAATGTTGTCAAAGCTGGAAGTTATACAATCAAGTGGTAGAAGTAAAACAGGGGGATAAATCCCTGCCAGCGATGGATTTATGCACTTGTACTTCTTCATTTTGTCATCTTATTTTCAGGGATTAAATACCTTACGATGTTATATTATTTAGACTTAAAAATGATAACGAGGTTGCTTAAAGTTCTAGTGAGAAGCCATGATCTATGGAGTCCATCAGGTAGGGTGTGAGGATAAATACTTACCAACGACATTGGCTGGCGGTGGCTCTGAAATCGCGCACCGACAGAAGTTAGAATTCATGGGTCATTGAATTCCGATCCAAGTAGCTGAATATTAAACAAGCTTGGCCTCATAACCTTTAGGTCCTGGTTTTGATCACTGGTGGGATCGCTGGGTGAATTATTATTATTTTATTATTATTCCCTTGGGTTCCGAGTAGAACATAGGGCTTCAACAACACATCTCCACTTTGTTCTCTTTTATGCCGACCTCTTTAGTTGGGTCCATGATTGATCACAATCTCTCATCTATTTCTCACACGATCTCCTCCATGTCACCCTCCATTTCACCGACTACTCACTCGTCTCTTCCAATTGGGATCCCACCGGAGCTATTGCCTGAGTGCGATGTCATTCGGTGGCCTCCTCAGTGTATGCTCGATCCATCTATCTTCATCTTCTCTCATATATTTGTTGATCAATCGGCTCTTGCCTGTTGGTTTGTTCCCATAGCTTCTTGTTGCTTATTCTTTCTGGTGAGCCAGCGAATTGGGCAGCTGTTGATGGAAGTCTGCAACAGGCTGTTGGAAGTGCTTTTCGTGACACGCAGTGCACTTTTCTGACACGTATACAAGAACTGACTGACTTCACATTGGTGTTGAAAATGCAAATCTCGTTCCTTATGCTGGCTGAATGTGGAAGATTTCCAAACTGGTTTCAAGTTGATGAAGGCGTATCTTTCCTGTCCGATTCTGACTTTGACATCTTCATCCGTTCCGCCTGTATTTGAAACGATGCTTCCTAGCTGGATAAGTGAAGTAGGTAACCTCTGTTAAATCTCTTCCGTTGATGGTGATTGGTGCTGGTTGCTGTTTCTGCTGTTGGTTGATTATCTTCGTCAACTCCGCTTCTCTATGTTCACCTGCAGTCCTGTCTTTATTGCCAGCCATTTCTGCGACTTTGTTGGTTTTCGCTTGTAAAACTTAGAGTTTGTGTGACGTTAGACACATATCATCTGCAAAATGCAGATCTTCTAGAGTTTTCTTATCGGTCGTCTAGCGGATTCCTGACTCCTCGCCCCCAACCGTCTGACGTATAATCCAGTTCACCACAATTAAGAATATCATCGTCGGTGATAACAGGTAGCCAGCGTTGTCTTACTCCTGTATGCACTTCGAACGCCTCGCTGAGTTTTCCGTTGTGGATCACCTGACACGTGACACTGTCATATATCTGTTGAATGAGATTGACAAAGACTTGAGCACTGCACACTGTAGTGTTGAAGTAGTTTCCAAATTACTTCTTAGTCTAGGCTGTCGAAGGCTAGGTGTCGCTGGGTGAATACTGATGAATAGTCTCGAACTAAGGCGAAACAGATGCCTGATATCTCCTGGTTTTCAATGGTTCTCTGACTGATAACAATCCGCAATCAAATGTTAAACCAATGAAATCCCTGCAAACTAACATGTGAAGATAACGGGTTAGTTGAAGCTTGAATTTAACTGCATACAACAATATGTACTCACAAAAATGTTAACTATTTTAAAGTTAACTACTTTAATCCGAGGAAGCACTCGGGCAGAGTTTCATTCATACCTCTGAAGTAATGATATTTATTCGACTTTAGAAATTGTATAATACAGAGATATTTAAAAATTTATCATTTTCTGGATTCTTGAGAATATATTTAATAAGAATCAATGGATTATGAATGGGTTTAATTTGCTCAAGGGAAACACAAAGTATCAGTCTGCACGTATTCAAAGTATTTTTCTGAAGGTTTATTTGTTTCTCAAACAGAAGCATCAACCAATTTATAATGAGTTTTTAAAATCTCTCATCTTGGTATTAACGTTAAAATCAACCCAAATGGGTAACACACAAATGAGTGTCGATTAGTGGAAAATATTGGCCAACAATATCCTGATTGGGGAATTCAGTTAACCAGTATTAAAATGAAGTACCCCTTAGGTGAGTGTTACCTAGATTAATAATATCAAGATAAGTTTATTGTTAATGTTTCGATTAGAACTTGCGATTGAATTTCAACACCGTTCACTAAACGACAGTTTAGTGTATGCGTTTGAGTTCGTGAATGTTAGGGAAAAAAATAATTGACAAAACTGTGACATAAATAAGCAGTTGAAGTTTGATCATTTGCCTGAAGTTGTGAAATTATGAGGAGTTAACTACTATTTATTGCAACAATAACATCTGACTCCCTATGGTCTGGCAGCAGAAGACCTATCTTTGCGTCCTACTGTATAGTTGACTAAAACTTCCTTGAGACAGGCACAGTCACAAAATGCCTCAACGATAGCAAGAAGATGGTTATTCGTGGTTAGATCTGTATGGTTCTATCCAACAATAATGACACATAAAAAACTCGAAATTACCTTATTAGTGCCGTTAGTCAGCTATACAAACAAGAGAGCTTTCTAGTACAAAACAAGTACTGTAGAACAAAATTAGTTAACCGAAATTCAACTGTAAGAAATACCTGAGAATCAAGTAGAATATTCCCCACAAGGTGGAATCAAAAGTCTCTCCACAAGAATCACACACCAAACAATTCTCGTACATAGTCCAATGTCAGATTAACTGATTCACGCAAACAAAGTCACATCGTAAAACAACACATGGCTAATATATGCCGCAACGATTAAAAGAAGCTTTAAAGTGAGAGATTAAACAGGAACAAAGACAAATAATAAGGGTTAAGTCAACATATGATATGCAAATGTCACAACAATGACATACAGTCTGGGTGAAAAAAGCGTAATAATCATAAAGTTATTTCAGATATCAGCACCGATGTCAGGTCGGTCCTCCTATACCAGTCAGAGACTTGGCCAGCGTGTCACCAAAAGGATTTCCAACAGGTTTCGGACTCTCATCAACAGCTGCCTCCTTCTGTGGCTCCATACTAAAGATCAAATGGCTGGCTGGGGAGAATTAGCAACAAGAAACTCTGGAGATGAAAAAACCAACCTAGAGCCAGTCGTTCAACAAATATGTAGGAGAAAGTGGAGATGGATGGATTGGGCATACGTTCAAGAGGCCGTCGAATAACATCACGCGCAATGCAGTTCATCATTCGAGTGGAATCCCATATGGGAAACGACGAGTGGGTCGTCAGTGCGAGGGTGACATGGAGAAGATCATGCGAAGAGGAGATGAGAGATTATGGTCAATCATGGACCCAGATGAAGAGGACGGTAGAAAACAGAACAAACTGGTGATGTGTTGTTGAAGCCCTATGATGTTCCACTTGGAACCCAAGGGAATAATAATAAATGAGTATCAGTATTGTAATTGGATTATTCACAGGAGGAATTTTCCAAACAACTGTCCCATTAAAAATTCTGCTCTAGCAGTATGAATCAACTGTAATGTTACACTGGCCTCCTAAAGTCTTTGAATTAGTGACTATATGGTGTAAAAACACCAACAGATGTAAATTTATTTACTATCCTATCGCCATTATGCGTGATCTTATTCCGCGTCGTTTAAACATGTTTTCAGCAGATAATTTTGATATTCTTGTGAAAATTATGGTTCATTTTTGAAAATTTCTGTTCCTTTTGAAAAAACAGAAGTAAAAACCATCTGTTCAGGTTCACAAATGTTTCGAATCTACTACAAATTTTAGCATAACTTGTGTGCATAAGCAAATGTTTGAAATGCGTATTTTATTGTCATAATTTATCTCATAACATCTAATGAATTCATCAATTTGTATCAGAAATATAATCAGTTGAGATTTTAATACATCAAATGACATGTGTTCTAAGATTCCCATAATGTTGTTTCATTTCTAAATCTTAAAAATTATTTTTTTTGCTTGAATAACGGTTAATCATAATCTACAGAATTGATTGAAGTTAGGATTTGTTGACCAGTGAAATCAACACTACTGAATTATTTCTAAATATGTTAAACCAGTCACTTGATTACTGATGGGATCTCACTACTGTGGTGTCTGAAAACAAAATTGAATCTTTGGAGGATTTCACTATGAGGTGGCATCAGTTAGAGAACCATTGGAAAAGCTGGGAGTACTACCAGACAGCTGTTTCGCCCTAGTGTGGGACTCTTCATTAGCACTCATCCACCACAGGAGGTTCGAACCCAGGACCTTTCAGTTACAAGGCAAGCTTGTAAACCCGATCCAATGGCCAGCCCATGAATTCTAACTTCTGCCTATTCATGACATAGCGCGGCCACTTCTCAATGTCTTCTTCGATGAGTTATTGTCCTCACCTTCAACTTGCTGTACCCTAATGATCATGGCTTCCCACTAGAACCTCAGGTTAGCTGCCTGAATAGGGCCAGATGTTAGTGAGCATCACATTAATTTTCAAGTATTAGTTCTGCAGGGACTAGAAAACCAAAACTAAGACGAAACAGCTGTACAGTAATCCGAAGTTTTCCAATGACTCTCTAACTGATGTCAGCTCATGATGAAATCCTCCAGACGATCAAACAAAATCCCTACAAAACCAATACTTGAAAATTGAATGTCTTTAGAATACTCAATGATTCTGTGACTTAATTTGCCTATTGATGAACTCTATTTTCACAAAATCTTTACAATTAGTCCGTGATAAGATTAGTTGTCTACCACTCAGCAAGTGAAATATCAAATAATTATTTTACTTAACATTTACCGTCTGCAGTTGAGTTTCAGACTATAAAATAGGAATCTGCAGATGTTTGCATATCTATCTACTAATAAAACGAGATTT